TTTTTTTTTTTTTTTTGAAGTTCAATACCAACAAATTCTTAAACCCTAGTTTCGTAACCTATATTTTTTTCTTGTACAAATAATTAACTATATATATATGCGTGGTACTACTTAAGCTTGTTTCTCAACATACGAAAGTGTGACACTTGAATATTGCTTGGCTCTACATGCTATGTTTTTTGTCTTTTATAAGAACTTCTGGACTAACCAAGGACAATAGCCGGTTATTAAATCTTCTTCCTCCAGCTGTCAAGACTCGAACTTGACACCTCCATCTTTATGACAAAAAAAGTTACCAGTAAAAATAACAGCTCCAGGTACATGCTATTTGTATTCGTTGGTTTGGACTTGAAACAACCAAGACGAATCCAGTGGTTTTTTTTAATGGGTGCATAATGTAGATAAACCATGTTATATGTACACACATTTGTAAAAATGTTAAGTGGGTTGAATTCCCAACTATAAAAAACCGACCTTAGCTTATATGATAAAGTGGAAAATTGTAGGTGTTGCTGTAATTTACCCTGCTGGCTCAACTGGTAAAGCTTTGTGTCCTAAGGGTAGAGGTGATAGGCTTGAACCTTAGCCACTTCGAGAAAAAAGATTTAACAAGGCTCTTGTGTTAAGCCAAGATCGATTATGGACTTCGGCAGAGAACCTTATAAAACAATCAAAAAAAAATTGTAAGAACTATTGGGGGTAATCATTCAGAACTGAACTAATTAGTTATAACTTCTATGTGTAACATAAGAATTATCAAAAATTTATGGATGTAGTTGCACCCACAAGCACCAATGTACATTCGACCCTGGAGGAAACCAACGGTTTCAATGAGGTACAACCAAGAAGAGAAAAACATTCTAAATACGTACACTACGATAAATTTACACATTCAAAGATTTATTGAATTCAAATAATCGTCTATTTATGCATGGGACCTGTTGAGTATTTATCGAGTTTGAGATGTTTGTAAGCATTTAGTTCTTACATATATACATTTGGTGACATTTGATACATTATACAAAAATTTAGGGTTGGATATCGATACTTGTTACTCGGTTAATATTTGCTATTTGATTAGTATTCGGTTTGAAAAAATCAAGTATTTGATGTTATCAATGCAAATATTAAATCTAAATATCATATTACTTGCAAATACAAGTAATGTATCACAACTTTTTTTAATACTCAATTTATTATTTATTTTATTACTTGTCATTGATTTTTAAAATATGTACTACTCCTATTTTTGTCACCCATTTTTTGAAACATAATACTACTCTTTAATATACTTGTTTTACTACTGATATTATAATAAGATAAAAAATATATTAGTCTTTTAGGTATTTGTGTAATGTGTGCCTATTTCAAATGAATCATATACACTCACTAAATCAAATTACTTGAACATAGTAAATATAGTATCACGTATATGAAAATTAAAAATATTTATTTCACTTTAACTGAATTTATGTTTCCGTACATCTAGTTTTAATTTTTAATCCTAAATAAATAAAGATCAAGTATTACCAAATAACTTACAAGTATTCAAAAATATATAATCAAGTACTGAAGCACTTGACTGGTTAGTACTTGATCGAACTAAGTGTACAAGTATAAGTAAAAAAATGGGAAAAAATTTGTCAGCTACACGAAGTCTACTCTAATATGGTGAAAACCATCCAATCTATGAAAATGTGTTAACAAATACACAAAGTTTATATTAATACATGTCACATATACAAAGTAAATGATTATATGGTGGAAACATCACAATCGGGTTTAATTAATTTTTAGTTTAAGTTAATGGGATCAATCAGTAATTTATTAAACTTACCCCAAGTCATTAAAATCAATTAAGTTTACTAATAAAATCAATTAATAAAATCAAGTTTGTTAATAAACTTATTAACTTTACTAAGTTTATTAACGAAATCAAGTTTATGAAATTTGATAAATTATTAAGTTTTTCAAGTTTATTTATTGTAATAACTTATTAGGTTTGTTAAATTTAATAAATTATTAAGTATATTAAATTATTAGGTTTGTTAAATTTTAATAAATTCATTCATTAATTTATTAAATTTAATAAATTATTAAGTTTATTAAATTAATTTTATTAAGTTTAATAAATTTATAAGTTTAATAATTCATTCGTTTTAATAAAATTTATTAAACTTATCAATTTATTAAACTTAATAAAATTTATTAATTCATTCATTAAATTTAATAATTCATTCATTTTAATAAATTCATTCATTAATATATTAAATTTAATAATTTATTAATTTTATTAAAATAAATTTAATAAATCATACATTTTAATAAATTTATTAAACTTAGAAATTTATTAAACTTAATAAAATTTATCAACTGATTCATTAAAAATTAATTCATTCATTAAGTTATTAAATTTAATAAATTATTAAGTTTATTAAAATAATTTTATTAAGTTTAATAAATTTATTAGGTTTAATAATACAATTATTTAATAAATTTATTAAACTTAATAAAATTTATTAATTCATTCATTAAATTTAATAATTCATTCATTTTAATTCATTTTAATTCATTTTAATTCATTTTAATAAATTCATTCATTACTTTTAAAATTTGTTAAATTTAATAAATTATTAATTTTTAAAATTAATTTTAATAATTAATTCATTAAGTTTAATAAATTTATAAATTTATAACTTAATAATTTATTAAAATAATTTTAATTATAAATTTAATAAATTATTAAGTTTATTAAATGAATTTTATTAAGTTTAATAAATTTAGAAGTTTAATAATTCATTCATTTTAATAAATTTATTAAACTTATAAATTTATTAAACTTAATTAAATTGATTAATTCATTCATTAAATTTAATAATTCATTCATTTTATTAATAAAATTAATTGATTTTAATGACTTGGGGTAAGTTTAATAAATTATAGATTCACCCCATTAACTTAAATTAAAATCAATTATACCCGACTGTGATGTTTCCACCATATAATCATTTACTTTGTATACGTGGAATGTATTATCATAAATTTGGTGTAGCTGTTGACACATTTTCATAGATTGGATGGTTTTTACTATATTCGAATAGATTTCGTGTAGTTGAGAAACTTTTTCCCAAAAAAAATTATAATACTTGCATTTGCATAAGCCAAGTTAAGGTAAGTAGTGAGTATGGTGAAAAAGTCAAATACCCATGTATTTATAAATAATACTCCCTTCGATTCATTTTAATTGTCATTCTACGTTTTTGCACACAGATTAGGAAACATTTAATTTTACATATTTTCAAGAAAAAAATACAATTATCTATACACCTAACCACTTTTCAGTCAATAGAAAAAAAAAATATTATATAAAACTAATAAATTTTGTCTCGAACTCTAAAATGACACTTATTTTGAAACAAAATTTTTCCTCCAAAAACACAATTAATTCGAAATGGATGGATTATTTAACTTCAGAAAAAAACATGAATGATGTTGAATGTCAAATTGGTACATATATATCAGTATATATAATATACCAAACCATATCTGTATATTTAAATCATAAAGTAGGAAGTAGTGGGCCTGTTGTCTACTGGCTTCCACTATCAAAATGTCATACTATATAGTTGTAATCGAACGAATAAAAAAAAAGTTCAATTAATGGACAGACGTATAGATGATATGTACGAACATAAATACATGGATATGAGGAATTCAAAAAGCATTAAACTCAAGGGAGAATTGCATCAATCAAGTTTATTTTTTTGCTTACTTTCCTAGCTAACTAATAATTATCAAATTATCATTGTTATACGTTAATTTTTATCACCATTCATATTAACTAAAATAATCTGTACGAGCTATTGTAATCGTATACTTCCTCCGTTTCAAATTGATCCATATTATAGAAAATTTCTTTATTTCAAAAATATTATTTTTTACATTTTTAATGCAAGTAATAATGATAAATAGTAAATTTCAAGAAAATTAATTGTTATTATTGAATTTTGATTGGTTGTCAGTTATGGGAAATAGTTAAACATAAAAAAAAATGTACTTATAATCAAAATTTAAGAGGTTTTCTTAATATGTGTGATAATTCTAAAACATCTATTTGGAACGGAGGGAGTGCTCATTGATCTGATACTGCATATGTTTTATTATAAGTATCATTTTAGTTTTTTGCACACGAATTAAGAAAATAATTAATTTTGTATCTTTGCTATATAAAAACATAATTAATCATACATCAACCAATAAAAACATAAATTATATGATAAAACTAATAATTTTAATAATTTTGTATGAAAACCGAAAACGACATTTATTTTATGATCAAAAAAGTATTCTATTATAATACTTAATATAAAACAAAGGGAGTATTGACTAAAACCACTCATTTTGACTACTGTTCTCTTGTCAACTGGCTAAAATACATGTATAAATATTTATAAAATGAACACAAGATCAAATTTCATTGGTAACTCAAGATAGTTTTATTAATACGAGAAGATAATATTATACTCTCTCCATTTTATATTATATGTTATTGTAGAAAAAAACATTTTGTTATAAAATAAGTGTCGTTTTCAACTTTTAGTACAAAATTTATTAATTTCATTTTGTATTTATTTTCTTATTGGTTGAAATATGATTAGGTATATAGATAATTAAGTTTTTTATATAAAAAATATATAAAAATAACTATTTTTTAATCTGTGTACACAAAATTAAAGTGATATTTAATATGAAACAGATGAAGTAATATATAGTGTAACTAAACAAAATACTTTTTATTTATCATGGCATGTATTCTGTTGGTGACACATCTGAATATAGGTTTGTTGATTATGGAAATGAGATAAAATTTTATATTTTCGTAAATGTCACATCCATTTGGTTGACCTGTAATTTTGAAAAATATAAATACAAACCTTAAGAATTATAGTTGATCCTTGTTATCAATAAACAAAGTTTTAAAATGGATATTATATATATAGATTGCTATTTTTTCACCATGGAAATTCGCTTGCGGAACAAAACATCAGTTTATACACATACAAATCAGAAACAAACTAAGAGCTTCCTCTTTAATACGTATATATAAATTCAAGAACAAGGATGGGAACAAAAGGTTCTTCGACATAAAACCAACCCTTATCTGCTAAATTCAGCAATAAAACTCCCTCGAAACATTAAATTAAAGGACAAGAAAAGAAGAAGAAAATACATTTCACTTATTCCATGCTTTAGAGTCTGCAAACTGAATTTAGCATATGTTCCCTTCCGTCTTGACTACCCGTCTACCACAATCCTCTCTCTTTATTCACCTATATAGAATTTAAAATAATTTAGCTTAAATTTTTCTATTTTTGCTAAAAAGTTTAATTGGTACATGTAAAAACATTTAATTATAGTAAGGTATACATGTTTCTTTTTCTAAAATAGAGCTTGTTAATTTAGATAGGTAATCCCATTTTCTAGCCCTAAACCATTCTTTCCCTTTTTAGTTGGTCCCCTCCAACTCCATGGTTGCCTCTGCCCACCTTTGAAGAGTCACCTTTCTCTTCCATCTCTACCTTTTCTCCAATTCCAAGTATAACAATTCAATCTTTGATCATGACTTGCGATTTTAATTTATTTTATTTTATTGTTAGTTAGTTACCACTAATTAGTATTTTGATGCTAAGAAAGATCCGTATGGTATACGTTCATATACTCTACCTGAAATTGTTGCCCCCAAACGTCGGTGTCCAAAAATCGGCGGTTGTTTCATTAGCCACTGGAAAAGTGCTTGATATCGGGACGAGACATAGACCATGTGCTCTTAGTTCTTGATTCTCGTTTCCTTCCTGATTTCCAGATACATGATTTCATACTAAATTAGTTCTTAATACATTCATTAACAAAGACTGTAATGAAGACTCCAAAGCTAGGCACAAATATAACACTGGATCGAGTATTTATTAAACCTGCAGTTGTTGTTGGATCGAAGCAGCTTGTTTCATGTATGGAGTACTTAGAACCTGTATTTATAAACATTAATATTCTCAAAATGAATCCATTTCTAGGGTTTCTTGGCTTTTTAGATAAACATTTGAGAGAAACAGCTAAAAACGTACAGTGACTTGATCGTGAAGGAACTTGATGTACTCTATAGCTTCTTGGAGAACCGATGCAGTATCAGTCTGAAAATTAACCCACAGATAACAAAATAAAAGCTCAATAAATAAACCTGGCCAAGAAGATAAAAATATAAACTTTGGTTTGTGTATATTATAATCAAATAGAATATAAATCATTCACCTTTCCGAAAGGTGAAACTAGCTGTTGCAATGAAGTAATCTGGTCCCTTAGATTCTCTTTTCTCACCTGTTACATTTATAATCAATTTTGTCCACCCAAAATTTAATTAAAATAAAAGGTTAGAAAAAAAAATAGTGATTTATGATTATCTAATATGTACCTTAAAAGTTGGCAACGGTGAAGGCGTGGTAACCCTCTGTTTCTTCGACGGAGGTTCATTATACTTTGCTCTCTTCAAGGATTCGCTCTGGCCTCTTGTCTTCTGATTATTCAATACAAACACAAATTAATTGGCCGCAAAACATATATATCAGAAAATTTGTACATATATGTCCATGTGATTTATTACCTTGGTTTTATCCTCAACACGACTAGATATTATCTGCGGAGTGGTTAGAAAACTGTTCTGCATTGTGTTATGTAAGTTAGTTGTTGATGAAGAATTCCAAAAGGGTCGAGAGTTTGTGTTGTTAGAGAAGGTGTTAATTTGTCCATAAGCAGCTTGATGATTAAGATTTGTCATAGCATTAGCCCATGAGACCTGAGGATCGTTGAATGAGCAGGTAGTGGTGGAAACGAAGCTGTACGGGTTATGTTCGGGATCAGAAAAAGTTCGTAAAAAGGTTGAGGAAGAAGAAGTTGATGAAAATGAAGAACAAGCTTGATTAAGAAGATAAGGTGAAGTAGTTGTGGATAGGAATCCTTGGCCATGATCTTGATCTTGTGAGCTCCTTATAAAGCTTGAGTTTAAGTCTTCTTGTCTGAAAAAAAAACACAAAGCAATAATCAAAAGTGAACTCATGAATATTATTAAGGTTTTTCAAGAACTGAGAGAAATTAATTAATGTTTTTTCTTAAGAAGATTACACAATATTTTGGTTCCAATCTGAAGAAGAGTTCGAGGAAAACCCTAGACCCATCATTTGCATCGTCGAGTCAATCGTCACGGTGCTACCTCCACTGTCGGAATCCGCCTCTCGCTGCCCAAAAACGATGTTGTTGTCGGTACAAGTAATCCTAGATTTGATATTATTTTCTCCAGAGCCAAAATCATCGGAAGTGTTGATTGCAGCTCCGAAACAAGGCGACAAGAAAGGATCCGAAGGAGACATAACGCTTCTCGGCGAGTTCCACCACGTACCGCCTCCGCTACCGCAAATTGCTGACGTTGCTCGAAACTTATCAGCCATGTAATCAGAAAGTTTTAATATATGCTCACCCCTGGATCGTTATTAGACAAAGGTCAAGAGTTTGTGTATTATGTGATATGAAGGGCATGAATGTGAAACGTTGATATATGTCTTATGAGGGTGCGTATGTTTGTTTATATAGGCAAGTACGGACAAGTGTGTGGAAATTGCCGGAAATTAGTTGACATTTGAAAAGGTTATAGACAAAGAAACAATATATCATCATAGCATTCCCGAGTGATTTCGTAAGTAATCTTGATTTTTTAATCAATTCCTAAGGATGTATATTTTATGTGAAAGAAAGATGTAATAATAATAGAGGGTTCCTATAGTTAATCCCGCAGCTTTTTCTGTTATTCTAAGAACAACTGTCTACGTGAGATTTGTTTGTTTGCTGCTTAGACCATGTGCAATGGAGAATCCTTAGGGGGAGTCCTTAAAAAAATATTAATTTTATAATCACTGGGTCCCATGAATAGTTAAGGATTTTATTATAAAAATCCTTATGTAAGGATTGATCCTTACACTATTCATGGGCTCCACTGCACACGTGGCGGTCCATGAGTGGTCAGTTTATTTTTTTTTAAAGAAAAAATCTGAAATATCCTTATATAATCTGAAATACCCTTTTTATTTTTTTCCTAAGGACTCCCCTAAGGATTCCCCATTGCACATGCTCTTAGCTCTTCTAGGAAGCGATAATTATCCACTTATATTAATTAACTAAGTTTTTAGTTTGCGATTAGTAGGTGTTTGGTATTACGCAAGAAGCCAAGAGGGGGGTTATATCTGTTTAAGACATAATATTATATCAAAATTATTTACGATTGGTTGACATAAAATTCTATGAATCGATATATAGTTGACTAAAGTGGTCGGAATTAAAAACTTGCCAATATTATTCTGATTTAATTATTTACTAGGTGTTTTGTCCGCACGTGCGGGCTTAATTTTCTTTAATCAATTAAAAATCATCAAAATAAATGATTATTTGCATCAAAAAAAATTGACTTAAAATATTAAAATTTTTTACATGATAAAGTTATTCACAAATTAAAAAAAAAATCTATTTTTATTTTTAAAACTTTGAAAAATATAAAGTCTATTTCATTTTCTCTTAATTGATATAAAAATAGAAATCTATCTTTCAATTGGAAAAATTGAATCCATAAATATACATTCGAAAATTGATCTTACAGAATGAATAATATTAGTTTGAATAATAATAAAATATATTTAAATTTATTTTTTTCAAACACATATTTTATTTCTTTTTGAATGATCTTTTATTTTATTGTGATTAATTCATGTTTAAGGTTTAATTATATAAAATATAAAAATAAATTTATTTAACGTGTGAGTTCAGAGGTGAAAAATAACTTCACAAATATACATCATTATATTATATTATTATATTCTTTTAATTTGAAAATAATTATGTATTATCATATTTTCAATTTTCTCTTTTCAATTCTATACAATTAAAAATTTTACTTGATGAATATTTATTTATGTGTTTTCTGTTTTTGAATTTCTTTTATTAAAATATATTTTCTGGATAACAACATAATATATATAGGAATTATATTTTTATTTTTAAATATATATTAAAATTATGGATAATTCTTATCATTAATAAATATTTCAATCATTTATCTAATCAAATAAATATTAAATTCGTTTTTATTTTTTGCTGATTTATATCTTTTATTCATTAAGGGTATAAACGATATTAGCCACTCTAACTTTTAACGTGGGAGCTCTGTTGGAAAAATCCCTTCGCAAATAATAATATAGACTAAAGAGGTGTAAATCACCCATGAATTTTATTAAATTTAAAAATCGAAGCACAATTTGATGTTATTCGGTCGTTAATTCTATTTTTTTTAAATATACAGTAATTGGATTTCATATTTGTATATCATTATCCAGAGTTTTAAGAATGTGTTGTGATTTTTAATACTTTCAGTAAATTTGCGCAAAAAATTATTACAACTGAATTACAATATAACTTCATAATTATAAGTATTTAAAATAAAATCCCAAATAAATTATAAATACATTGTAGTCCACCCACGTAACATAAATACATAACAGTTTTATTAAAATATTAAACACCAACAGATCACAATAAGAACATGAACCATGATATACTTTTTTTTTATTTTGCATACAATTTATATTTTTATGTTAGGGTTACCGTTAAAAATAGAGATCACTTGTTTTTCACATGTTCCTATTCCACTTAGGTTTGGGAATACTGTGTCAAAGGTATGCTAGCAAGTAGTTACACAAATTCCTGGTCTGATATAGTGGCTCTTATGGCGGATGAGAGAATGGAGAAGAAAAAAAAGTTATGTATCAGATATGCTTTCTAAGCAGCAATACATACCTTATGGCGAGAACGAAATAGAATCAAACATGGAGAACGAAATATAATCAAACATGAAGAGAAGCCTATGTCTATAACTGCGCTGATGAAGATGTTAGAAAAAGGGATCAGAAACAAGTTGAGCTTGGTGAGAATGAGAAGTAAGGGTATGGAGGATGTTTTACTATTAGTCCCAGTGGACCTTCCTCTTCAAAGCAACAAGCCCATACGGATGTGAAGCCTGTTAGCAAGCCCACTGCCAACTCAGCTCACTCCCTAACGGTAACTTTAACATCAAGACAAAACAGAGGAAAGGGATACGACAAATGAGTGGTCTCACCGGCTGGTCAAGGATTCCTCAGCAACCGCTTTACCACGCTATTGGATCACGAAGAGTGAGCTGTCAGGACTAGCTGTCAGGTCTCTAGATTCATCTGATGTCATTGTATAAATAATGAACCTAAGGGTTGTAAGAAGAACAAGTTAATGAAATCGTAAACTTGAGATTATTATCTGAGATCTCCTATACTCTGGTTTTACCTTCATGGTATCAGAGCTCTGGAAGTAGATCATGGATGAGAATCAAGAAGCGTTTACGGTTGCTCCATTAACTATTACTCAAGCCGTAAACCTAAAACTCAAAGACGGCAACTATCTGTTATGGAAACTACAGTTCGAACAGTTTATTTCCAGTCAGATGCTTCTTGGACATCTTACTGGAGCTACACTCCGACCCCCTCCTACGATTGTGGTTCGCCAAGGAGATGAAGCCAATGATGCTGTTAATCCAGAGTATAAGAAAGTGGATGCAGAAAGATCAGCTTATTCTAGCTTGGTTGTATGGAACCCTCTCAGAAGATGCTCTCAAGTCTGTTTATGGTCTCCACACGTCTCAGGAAGTGTGGTTGGCTCTGGCAAAGAAATACAACCGTGTCTCAGCCACACGTCGTCTAGATCTGCAACGAAAAGTTCAAACCACCACAAAAGGAAACAAAACGATGTCTGTGTATCTTGCTGAGATAAAATCTCTTTGTGATCAATTCGACTCCATTGGAGCACCCATTACTGAACACGAAAAGATTTATGGTGTCCTCAATGGACTTGGCAAAGAGTATGAAGCTGTATGTGCTATCATTGAGCATTCAATGGATATTATACCAGGTCCATGTTTTGATGACGTTGCTCATAAACTCACTGGTTTTGAAGACAAGATTCGTACTTATGAAACCTCTGCTGAACCATCACCACATCAAGCTTACTACATGAGTCGTGGTGGCTACAGAGGAAGAGGACAACACAGAGAAAGCTACCGTGGTAGAGGTTCTTACACCACCCAAGGACGAGGCTTTCCTCAGCAGTTTGGTCAAGGCGCTCATCAAGGTCGTGGCTCTGCACAGAATGCTTCAAAACCAACTTGTCAAATCTGTGGCAAATATGGCCATCCAGCTTATAAGTGTCATTATCGCTTTGATGAACACTTTAATGGACAGGATCCTCATCAGGAAAATGTTTTGAACACAACCTCAGACACCAGACAGACAGGAGCTGAGTGGTACCCTGATAGCGGTTCTACTGCTCATGTGACCAACACAACTCAACACCTTGATACAGCTCATGCGTATGATGGTGGTGACCAGGTCATAGTGGGGAATGGAGATTATCTTCCGATAACTCATGTTGGTGCTGCCTCCATTGCTACTGCAACAGGTAAATTACCACTATTAGATGTTCTTGTTTGTCCTGATATAACGAAATCATTACTGTCTGTGTCTAAGTTGACTGATGACTTTCCGTGTGAGTTTACATTTGACGCTACTGCTGTGTATGTTAAGGACAAGGTCACCAGTCAGGTTCTCACTCGGGGAAACAAAACTAAAGGACTGTATCGGTTAGATGATCCTCAGTTTCTGTCATTCTACTCTTCAAGACAGCAGAGAACGAGTGATGTGGTGTGGCACAAGAGACTAGGACATCCCAACGATCAAGTTCTTCAACATCTATCAACAATCAATGCTATCTTTTTGAATAAGACTAATAAGTCACTGTGTGAAGCGTGTCAACTAGGAAAGACATGTAGATTACCGTTTTTTAATTCAGATTTCCGTTCAACCAGAGTGCTTGAGAGAATACACTGTGATGTATGGGGTCCTGCACCTGTTGTTTCAGCTCAGGGTTTTCGATATTACGTTGTATTCATTGATAACTGTTCAAGATTTTGCTGGTTCTATCCTCTCAAATCGAAATCTGATGTGTTCTCTGTCTTCAAAGCTTTCCAACTTCAAGTAGAGAACCAATACCAAACAAAGATAGCAGTTTTTCAATCCGATGGTGGAGGTGAATTTGTTAATAGAAAGTTGATGGATCACTTTCAGTCTTGTGGCATTAAACACCTAGTCTCCTGCCCTCACACTCCAGAGCAGAATGGAATAGCAGAAAGAAGACACCGTTACATCACAGAACTGGGCTTGTCAATGTTGTTTCAGAGTTTCTTGCCGCAGAAGCTATGGGTGGAAGCTCTTTATACTGCAGCATTCCTCAGTAATTTACTTCCTACCTCTGTGAATGACAAGATGATCAGTCCCTTTGAGATTTTAAATGGTAAACCTCCTGTCTATACCGCTCTTCGTGCTTTTGGGTGTGCCTGTTACCCATATTTGAGACCTTATGCTGAAAACAAGTTTGATCCAAAGTCATTGTTATGTGTCTTTCTTGGCTACAATGA